CATGGAACAAATGATGCTCCAATTCTRACAAGCTTACACCTTGGAGGTGAGGTGTTGCGAGTCTTAGCCTGCAAAGCACATAAGGGAAGGAGGGGGTGGAGGGTGGGGTGGTGTAGGATCACTCCATTCCCTTTCATATTTACCCTTGTTGTTTAGAAGAATGTTTTGAAAATTGATTCGACTGCCGTCTTTATAATATTATCCATTCCTCAAAAGGACTAGTACTGAATGGTGACACAAAAACTATGAGTCCAAAAAAGCTTTTCCTGGCCAAGTCAAAAAAACAAAAGAACTGACCAATTGCTTTGGATTTTTTGCATTTTTGCTGCCAAAAAATTCCGATATTATCTATTTCGGTAGGTCACAAACAAAACCCAGTCGATCCATTTGATTCACTCTAGTGAAGGTCAGGTCAAGCATCTCCAAGATTGATGTCATCACAGTCGGCGTGCCTAGACGCATTCTCCACAGGGTCTTCACGTTACTCCTTTGAATATCACATTCCAGTTCCAAGAAATCTGACTCGCTGCATTCGTTTTCCGCGTCCCTGTGAAAATGGCTGCATTCAAATCGCTTAAAGACATCACAGACAACTTCGAAAGAGAACTCACTTGTTCCATTTGTACAGAAATATTTACCMATCCCAAGACTCTGTTATGTCTTCACAGTTTTTGTACACACTGCATCGCTCATTGGTACGAGACAAGCGGAAATCAAGGAGGCAATCTAATGGACTGCCCGATGTGCAAGACGACGATGATTGTGCCAGACGGCGATCCCACGAAGCTTCCATCTTCATTTTACTTTGATTCTCTATTAACGTTGCTGCAAGCAATGAAAACTAGAGCGAACCAACCAGGGCTATCTGATTGTGYTTGCTGTGAACAGCCGCAAGTGTTGGATTCATTTTGTGGGCAGTGTCATGGCTTGATATGTGAGGCTTGCTTCAACATCCATAAAACCCACAAGATATATAAACAAGTAGAAGATGAACACCAACCAATAAAGCTCAGTCAATTTAAGTAGGAAAATGTAAACAGTTTTATTAAAAACCAGATGCTGTGCAAGTTCCACGAGAAAAAGAAGCTGGAATACTATTGTCAAGAGGACACATGTAGACTCTGCGTATGCCAAAATTGCGCTACTTTGAATCATCTAAACCATCAACTGCAGAGCTTAGAAGACGCTGGACAGGACTCAAGGAAATTGATCGAAGGAGCGATGAATCGAGTCGAGCAACGGAAACAAAACGACCAACAAGAATTAAAACAATCTAAAGAAAACATAGAGAGAATCGAAAGAGAGATTGCCAAGGCAAAGAGAGATGTCGATGATGTAGTTGCAATGATTTGCAACATGGCCAGAGAACACGGAATAGCTAAGAAGGAGGAACTACAGCAGACGCTCCAGGAACTAACAACAGCAAATAACGAAGAACAAACGGCTATTGAAACAAGAATAAAAGATTCAGATGAATTTGTGNATGGTGGTGGTACAATGCTGGAGGATGGTGGGTGAGTATCGTACGAGGCAGGCARAACAGGTTGTGATGGTGGTGGTGGTACAAYGCTGGAGAATGGTGGCTTAGTAAAAGTAGTTGAGGACAGTGGCCGTGGCTGAGAATTAGAAGGTCCAGGRAGAAAAGGTGGTGTCAGTATGATGCTGGAGGATGGTTGCTGTGGCTGAGAAGTGTTAGATGGAAGTATTGTAGATGGTGGAGAAGTGTGACTGGTAGTTGGAATAAAAGATGGTGAAGGTGTTAATTCTGGTGTTGGCGATGAGTTACTATTACACATGGATACAAAAAGAGAGGACCAATATGAAATTTGGCGGGCAACGTTACAAGCAGAGTCATAGCTGGTGTGATCTGGTAAATTAGTTGGAAGATGTGAAGTGAACTGGTCTAGACGTGATGATATAGATGACAATGAATTCAGAATTTCTATGTCACTAGTTGATGATGATGACGACGGCAGCAACGGTGGWKGTGGACAGCGGTTTCCAATGACTTCACCCCTTAAAGAAGATGCAATCTTTTTGAAATCATCAACTAAAGACACCACTGATGGGGTTTTATCTTCATTGAAGATCACTCTTATCTCTTCACTATTTGAAATACTYTTCAATGCGTCTGTGAATTCTGCATCCTAAATAAAAAAGAAGGGGAAAACCAAACATCAAAAACATAAAGTACAGGATAATTTTTAAATTTGCAACTGGTTCTTTTGATGAGAATAATGTATATGTATGTCTCAATGTCAATATTCAAATGTAATTATATTTTAAATATGTTACAATGAAACTGAAAGTTTGACCTCTTTTATTTTAAATAAATTGTCAAATTCTCATTTCAATGCTTTTTAAGTTACCAAAAAAAAAA